TGCCCCTTTAAGGGGTCCGGGGCCGGGAGGGGGGCAGACGAGTTTCCCTGGTGTTGGCCAGAGTGGCCACCAGGGAAACCTGGGGAGGGCTAGCCTCCCACTAGTTCGAATTAAGGGGCTACACAGCCCTTAATTCGAACTAGCTAGTTCGAACTAGGCTTAATCCTCGTAAAATGAGGTTTTCCTAGTTCGAACTAAGCGCTCCGCTAGTTCGATTTAAATTCAAACTAACGGAGCACTAGTGTAGTGCCTATGAAAGTTAGTTCGAACTAACTTTGTAGTGTAGACATACCCTAATATACAATGCACCACAATGTATTCCACATCTGCATTCAGCCCAGTATCTATTAACCTGCTAACATTCACATGTGAGAGACGAGAGAGCCAAAATATGGGACACAACATAAAGAGAAGGAAACTTAAAATTGTGTCTGATTCTTGTATCATAAACATTTCCTGCCGTATTTTCATCAGTCAGCATTTTAGTAGAAATAATTCTTAATAGCAACATTATAAAAACACGAGTGGCCAAATCTTCCAGTCCTTACTCACTCCTTTTGATATTAAGGAGAGTTTTGCTGGAATCCCATTGAATTAGCACATTTAAATAAGAGGCTACAAAATCAGGCCTTTTAAGTGGGCTGCAGGATTGATCTTTGCGTTTGCATGCAGAGGCACTGGGGGTACATTTAGGCTATCCTTGAAAGTGAGGGCCAGTTAAGAAGTGTGCTGAGCCAAGAATTTATGTGTAATACAGAGATATGGTGAATTGAAGAGTCACAGTGGCAGTACACTGACTTTATAGCAGGATAGCTCTGTAGCAGAGAGAAGCTTATGCCAACAACAGTTCATCCCTTTTCTAGTTGGAAATGCAACAATGCTTTAAATTAGAGCAAACAGACATCATTTGGTATCTATTCTCTTTGCCAAACAGTGTGATCATTTTTACACTAGGCTACAGTTCAAATAATATACAGTCAATATATGCCATATTCATTATACTATGGCATTGCAGCCTCTATTTATCTTTAATCCTTTCACAGGAGTGCAGGTATATATGCTTTAAAGGAAAGCAACACCAGTCCAAAAGCAGAAACGCATTTCCTTTAAGAAGTGTGTAATAGATGTGCGCTCTCCAGCTGAAGCAAACAGATACCACTGAAGTCAATGGAGCCATGGTGATATTATACCAGCTGCAGGTCTGACCCTCTGTTTACTGCTCTATGCACAAGTGCGCACACACATACATATACAGGCAGTGCCCAGGTTACGTACAAGATAGGGACTGTAGGTTTGTTCTTAAGTTGAATTTGTATGTAAGTCGGAACTGGTACATATTGTAGGGGAAACTCTAGCCAAACATTTCTCCAGAGCTCAGTTTTATTCTCCCACACCTCACTTCCCTCAGGCTTTATTCTCAAGCTGAGGTGTCTGCTGAGAAAAGCCGCTCCACCTCTCCCTGGTCTGCTGGGCGGGGGGAGGGGGACGCGCTAGCTTCGCATCTCCCTAGTCTGCTGGGGGGAAGTAGCTAGTGCGGGGTTGCCTCACCCCGTTTGCAAGTAGGGATCCGATGTAAGTCGGATCCATGTAACCCGGGAACTGCCTGTATTGCTTCTTTCACGCTGACAGGCATGAATACAAATATTAGGGGGGGGGGGGGGGGGGCGCTAGCTTTGTGTCTCCCTGGTATGCTGGGGGGAAGCGGCTAGTGCGGGGGTGCCTCACCTCGTTTGTAAGTAGGGATCAGATGTATGTTGGATTCATGTAACCCGGGGACTGCCTGTACACACAAATAAAATCCTGCCTTGCTCAAGTTGCCAGAGCTACTCTTCTCCTCTATGTTGTACAAGTTGGGGATTGGCTTTTCAATATTGTGTTCTATTGAGTTAAATACTAATCTGAGCTAAAGCTACAAGTCTTCAAAACATCAAACATGCACCTCAACCATAATAAGACTGTTAATGCTGTACAGGGAATCTACCATCTGTGAAGTGCCAAATTAATTATGCATGGAACAGTGACTTTACTACTATAATTGCACGCACACAGAGTCACTTGGGCACACACACCTCCAAACCCCTGTCCCTCAAGCTACAAGTTGTGCATAACATTATACTTTAGATGGCTTCCTGCTGGTTTAGCAGGAAAAACTCCATCTTTATTCTATTCTCCCTTGGCATTTACTTCAAATTCCTTTTCAAGATCCTCAAACAAACAATAAGCTTTTGATTATCAGGGTTTCAAATGCTGCTCTGGACACCCAGGGTATATTTATGAATGGAATTAATAAAGAAGCAATCTGACTCCAAAAGGGAGCATTTGCAGTGCTTAAGTATCACTGAGTGACCACACTGGAAATTAAAAAG